GACCGGGTCGCGCGGGACGCGGTGATGGAGTTGACGACCGGCGCCGACAAGGCGCTGGCGGACGCGCAGGCCGCGATTCAGCAGGCTGCTCCCCGCTATCATTTTTTTGTTGCTCGCGGGCGCTTCTTGTAGGGAATGTGGAAGTGCCGGGGCCCCGACTGAATGAGAAAGCAGGAGGGCATCGGAGAAGGAGGAGAAGGAGGAGGGTGTAGGAAGAGGAGGAGGAGGAGAACGAGGAGGAGGAGGAGGCGGAGGAGGAGGAGGAGGAGGAGGACGAGGAGGAGGACGAGGAGGCGGTGGAGGGCGAGGAAAAGGAGGGTGGTGGAGGGAGGAGGAGGGTGGAGGTGGATGGAGAGGAGGACATGAGTATCGCGGCCCTCTCGCGTTTTCGACGCTCGGGCATCCAGGCTCGACGGACGATGGTCGAAGAGGAGAAGGAGGATCAGGCAGGCCTAGGATGAGGATACGTCGTGCCAGCGTGTTCTGGAACGCCCTGAGCTCAGAGCGTGCCAGGGCGCTCTGAGGTCTGCGCGGCGCTCGATATCCGTCAGACCCCACGGCTCTCAGAGATGCCCTTGTGGTCTCGATCGAACATTGCCTTCATCCTGCCTCCGTCGAAGTAGGACCGAGGAGCTGATGATGGCGGAGCAGATCCAGGAGAAAGGACGAAGGAGGGGCAACTGAACGAGAGTATGAGGAGGAGGAAAAGGAGGAGGAGGAGGAGCAGGAGGAAAAGAAGGGAGCATTGCTTCATACCCTGCATGGGAACCCTACGGGGCATACCCTGGGGAGAAGCACAATCAGTACATTCGGATACTTCAGTTGATCATACGGCAGATGCATCAGGTCTTCCACCACGACTTCCTCATTAGATGTACTACCCTGAGAGGAGAGAGAAGATATTTGCATGATTTTGATACACAGCCCACTGTTCCGTTACACCAGCCGGTTTACCCTTATACATCCAGAAGCCACTTCATCGTTCATACGCAGACCTAAGTCTGGCATAGGGGCAGACAGGGTCCGATGCTCACACGCCCACGGTAAGCGATACGTGATGCGGTATCTCACAGCGCGAACTACAAGGCCTCATGCCCCAACATTTTAGCGTTCCTGACATGGTCACCCGTCCAATTACGCAGAGATCAGTGACATCCCACTGATGGTCACCCGTCCCATTACGCATTCGCATTGACACACATCAGCCAGTGCCAGTGCTATGCCCTCCCACAACCATTTGTGCCCATCTCTTCAGTACCATTCTTGGCTCCAGTGCGCCACATACCAACGCAGCACCTGTCTAAGTACTCCGCATTGTATACAGCCTTACTCGATCCTGCGCCTTCCTCCTTTTGGAGATGCGACATTTGCGGGTTTGGGGTCGCAAAACGTTGGGTGGCGGCCCTAGAATCGTGCGCTATTTAATGCGCGATTGCTCAGCATCTCTCAGCATACTGAACCGATGGTTCTTGTGACATGCGTGGCCAGTCAGCAAGGCACGCGCCAGCCACTCACACGTGCTCCTTTCATTGCAAGACGTGGTCAAGTCTCCGCATAGCACATGCAGCCCCGGACACAGCCAGGCAGCAGTACCTGGGCGGCAGCCGCTTTCAGTGCACATCGATGGCTGCGCGCTCCCAGCCCCAGTGCACTAGCAGTTCCTCAGCAGCATTGTTTACTGCCCGACCTGCAACGCGCCTCTTCCTCCTGTCCCGCGCGGCTCATTGACGCGAGGGTGGTGTCCTACATGCAGGTTTGGGGCTATCTTGCAAAACCCTGGGTGGCGGCCCCAGGCTTGCGTTGCTTTTTTCCTCGCGCACTTCGCGCGCCCTACCTCGCCTCGCTGCTCGATCCTTCAGTGCCTATCACTACTGTTGCTCCCGAACCTCCCTCTCGTGGCCCATGCGTGAGCTTGAGGAACCCTGCCGCAGGTTCTCCTCCGCGTGCCAGGTCGACAGTCGCAGCTTTACTTGGTCGCCACAGCGACACTTTTTGGCGATCGGTAGCTAGCGCATGCAAGCAAGCCACACTCCTCGCAGCTATGCCCCAGTTCACTTGCACGCAGGCGTTTGCCAAAGCACCCTCCCATCCAAGTGCTCGACCAGCCGATTTCACAGGCCAGCCGAGCGCATGCAGTTGCGCGGCAAGTCTCACCTCCCTCTACTCCAAGCCCAAGGGCACGCAGGCGCTAACAACAGTACCCTCTCATTTGCATTGCGCCACTGTTCCTGCATATCCCGCGCTCTGTCTGCACCTCGCTCCCCCCCCGCCTGCTTGCGCGCCGTGCTCCCGGCATCAACCGGCGGCGACGGCAGCCCCTTCGCCTAGGAACCGAAGAGCGGGCTTGCTGCCGGCAAACAGAGTGGGCCTACACCTTGGGCGATGCTTAAGAAAACCTAAGTTTTCGGCGAGAGTCTCGATTATTCTTAATGCTTCAATGTAAATCCTAAGATTTTAATAGAAGTTCTGGGTTTTTACTCAAATCCTGAGGCTCTGAGTTTCTTAACCCATGATTTCTTAAGCATTTCGCAGGGTGTACTGCTTCGGGGCTCAAGAGACGTGGGTCAATGCAAACGGGGGTCAGCCAGGGCTCCGGCTCCTGCAGGATCCTGCGAAGACCCCTTTTGGCTGACCCGGGTTAGCGAGCCGCTCGTGGCCGCGAGGCGGCCGCGCGTATCGGCTGACCCGGGTTCGCGAAGACCCGCGCTGCAGTTTTTTTTCTCTTGCACTGCAGTTTTTGGTTTCCTGCTGACCCGGGGTTTGGATGGACCCGGGTCAGAAGATCCCCCACTGCTGGCAAAGAGGGACTGCTCACCTTAAAACAGGGCTAGGATCGGGATAAATCGCTCCAGAGCGTTCCGGAGTGCTCTCAGAGCGTTCCGGAACGCTCTGGAGCGGCCGCGGCGCCCAATACATCCTCCAAGCCCGCCGATTCTCAGAGATTTCGAGTTATCCCGATCCGATTTTGTCCCGATCCTCGCGTCGTTTTACACCTCGTGATCTGTCAGCCTTACTGCCCTGCGAGGCCTCGGCGCCAAGCTCGCCCGCCGGGGCCGGCCGCAGTGCGGCAGTCAATATCTTGCGGCCAGCGTCGCAGGCCCCAGTCGATGCTTTACAGGCCAGCCCGCGCAGTCTCTGCAGCGCAGAATCACACATCCGAGGATCGAGTCTCGGGGGAGAAAAAGATACGGATACGTGTTGTCCCCCGTCGTTTTCGGCCTTTCCTGGTCCTCCTGGGGAATCCTCGATGTCACCGCTGGATTCGCCTCGAAATTCTGGTCAGAACGCACCCCAGAGAGGTCCGGGGACAACACGTATCCGTGTCTTTCCGCCCCCCAACATTCGGGCACAGAAGCAGCTTGCGAAGTCTTTTCGCTTTTTTTCACAGGGTTACGAGCTGCTCCTCACACAAAGCTCCAGTTCTTCAGAAGGTTACGAGCTGCTTCTGGAACGAGGCTCCAGAGACACGGCGCTGCGAACCTCCATCGCGAACGGCGCCAGTGCAGGCCAGGCGCTCTCGTGGCGCTTCGACCCTCCATCGCGAACGGCGCCAGTACAAGCCGGGCGCTCTCGTGGCGCTTCGAACCTCCATCGCGAACGGCGCCAGTGCAAGCCGGGCGCTCTCGTGGGGGGGGGGGCCTCGTTGCGGCGCGGCGGCGGAAGGGAAATCTGTCGACTTCGGTTCGCAGGTGGTCCTGCAGAGCCCTGGGTCGCAGCCCCCAAAGACTGCGCAGTCCTTTTCTCAGGAGGGGAAAAACACACAGACACAATTAATCCTCAATTCCCCAGAAAATATGGGAAACTATGGGAAGTGGGGGGGAAGACAAAAACCCAGAACATATGGGAAATTATGGGGAATCGTTTTACTTGTGTGTATTTATTTGTGTGTCCTGGGGCCCCTTCATTTTTGTCGGAGGGTACGGGCAGAGCTCAAAACCTCGGTGCAGCACTCGCAGTGCACGCGCGGGTCCCCGCAGGGGCGCACCCCGACGCTGCCCTGCCCTGCCCTGCCGCAGCGTCGCCATGCTATCCTATAGAACCTTGGGTCGCAGCCCAGAGATTGCACGCTCAGATTAGGGGCAAGCCATTGAAACCCCATTGCATCACTCGCATTCCACTCTTGGGCCCCCGCAGGGGCTGACCCCGGCGCCGTCTTCACGTGTGGATGTGGACCAAAGTGGCGTGGCTGCGTTCTCTTTCTCTTGTTTACCCTTCCACTGCCTCGCAGCAGGTACCTCGTGGATCATGACACTCACCATCTGATGCTTGGAGTACTTGCTTGGGGCCTCTCCTGTAAGGTACACGCTGCGTTGCCTGGCGGGCGCCTGCTGTTCTACCAGTGCTGTTATACTGCCCCTCGTTACTGCCCCTCGTTCTCTTTCTCTTTTACCTTTCCACTGGTCGCAGCAGGTACCTCGTGGATCATGGCACTCACTGTGTGATGCTTGGAGTACGTGTTTGGGACCTCCCCTGTAAGGCACAAGCTGCGTTGCCTGGCGGGCGCCTGCTGTTCACTGCCGCTCGTTACTGCCTTAGCCGCGGCGCCCGCCGGGTGCCCTCCTTTGCGACGGGTCGTTCGCGCGCCTATTGCTTCTGCATCTCAGGAAGGCGACACGCGCGCGCGCAAGGTCTGGCCAACGACAGGGATGGGGGGGGGGCGGAGACCTTGAGCCTAGATTGGCAGGAACATCAACGATGTTTGCCTTCTCGCTAAGGCCATCTTGGACGCTCCAATCCGTCGCGTTGCGCCCCGTCCAGGTCCAGGGGAGGAGAAAGGGGAGGGGTCAAACGACCCGCAAAGAAGAAGTCGTCTCGCTGATCGCCATTTTGGCCGTCCGTCGCCATTTTGGCTCAAGGTTTCTTCTCTCGAGCGGGCAGCCCGCATACTGAGGCGGACGCTCCTCCTGTCGCAGAGCGGCGGACACTCTCGGCGCATCCCCCCCGCGTGCCCTACACTGTCTCGTCTCATCCTCCTTCTGTGATACCAGGGTTGCCCTGGTCGTGGCCGCAGGCGCCAGCGGGGGAGCCGGTGGCGGTGCGACGGCGACAGGCGGGAAGCGCGATGGCGGCGCGTCGTCTCGCTCTCCGTTTCGCTCTCCTTCCAAGCAAGACGGGGCTGATTTTCGAGCCCATGTTGGCACCTCAAGGAGGGGGGTCGTGGATCGCATCGAAGCCGCGCAGCGCTCGGCTACCGCCCTCGGCACCCAGGTCGCTTCATCGTTCGACCAGCTCGACCGAGAGCATGCGCGAGAGGTTCAGCGCCATCGAGGAGCGCGCGGGCAAGGCGGAGAACACCGTGGACGACCTCAGGCGAGAGATTCAGTCCTTGCAGACCGAGTTGCAGTCCATCGAGACCACTTCCGTCCCCGAGGCAGCTGCGGCGGCCGCCAGCCGGGACGTCGAGCGGGAAGTCGACCCCACGATCCTCATCGTCCACTGCCCGCACCTCGTCACGTTGGAGCGCGTCCGCGCCTTTGTGGAGCTGTGGCTATCTTGCGCCAACTGGGAATCGGACAGTTGGCAGGTGCTTGGCGAACCAGTCTCCAAACGCTTCACTATCAAATGTCGTGGGGCCGCTGGATGGGCCGCCTGTCGTGTTGGCCAAGCCATCGTGGCCATGCGGCAGGATGATGGTCATTATGGTCGCTTCAACATCCCGTCCACCACCAACGTCCCCACAGAGCTGTTTGTATCGATGGATCTGAACCCATGCCAGATCAAGAAGGATCTTGCAGCCAAAACCATTCGCCGCGTGCTATCTGAATATCATCCCAATGAGCGATTCTATGTGGACCGCCACGCTGGAGTCGTATCATGGCAACGGAAGCTCCTCATCAAGGCCACGCCGAAGCAGGACAACAGCCCGCCGGGGAACGCTGCGGAGGGGTAGGAGGGGGGCGTGGCGGCGGGGGAGGGGGGCGGGTGCGGTGCGACGTGGAACACAGTGGTTGGGGCGGAGGGGGCGCTGGGCGAAGGTTCCACTGGGCCAATGGGGAGCGCTGGGGTGCGGTAGGAAGGGTGCGGGGCAGGATTGGGTGCGGAGCGACGCCGAAGAACGTGGTCGGAGTTCTAGACACCCTGTGCATGATGATAACATGGTCGGAACTCTAGACACCCTGTGCAAGATGATAAAGGATCTCTTAATTTTAGTAACACGCTGAAGACGACGACGGCGGCGACGCCGACGACGGCGGCGGCGCTGACGACGACGACGACGACGACGACGACGACGACGACGACGACGGGCGTACTCCGAGAGTGCCGCGGCAACACTGGCCGCCCAGCTGCGCCGTAGCGCCCGCCGCGCCCCCGCGGCCCCGGGGGAACCCCAGGCGAAGACGGCGGCGGGGGACTACCTCAGCATGGACAGCATCACCGCGGCGGGGCCCTCAACAGGGAAGAGAAGGAGGAGCAGGAGGAAAGGGAGGAGGAGGAGAAGGAAAGGGAGGAGGAGGAGGAGGAGGAGGAGGAGGAGGAGGAGGAGGAGGAGGAGGAGGAGGAGGGAGGAGAGAACCCAGACGTCGTCCAACGCGATGAGGACGCAACACGGAGCTGTCTCGCCGCCTCTGGGCCTGGGGGGTCTCCGCGGGGCCCTGGGGTTGGGAGCTGGCCTGGGGGGAGGGTCCAGTGTTGCGGGGACCAGTGCAGTCGAGACGCTGAAATGACCAGGCGATCGCAAACAAGCAGGCGAAGGTGCGCCCCCGCAGCGACACGTGCCGCTCTATGAGGGCTGCGATCCCGAAGTTTGGTCTCATCGGCGGCGAGCGAGGGGGGGAAGCGACAAGCTAGGTGCGCTCGCGTCATATCTGACATCCTACCCCTCCCTCCCATCCCTTACCATGGCGCTGATTTTCTCTATCCGCGGACGCGTGTCGTAGCGGACCTGTGCTCCGCGCGCGCGTGCGTAGTGGGTGGTGGTGCACGTGCGTGCGTGCGTGCGTGTGTGCGTGGTTGTCGTGGTGGTGGTGGTGGTGGTGGTGGGTCGTGGTGGTGGTGGTGTGGTGGTGGTGATGGTGGAGGTGCAGGTGCTTGGTGGTGTGGTTGTGGTGCTGGGTGGTGGGGTGTTGTACTTGGTGCTGTTGGTGGTGGTGGTTGTGGTGGTGGTGGTGGTGGTGGTGGGTGAGGTGGCGGTGCGGCGCGGTGGTGGCGGGCGGATGGGCGCGCGAGAAAAAGGCCCGCGCTGGGGCGAGAACGCCATCCTGAACGACGGAGGCCAAACACCGATCCGAAAATGAAGCCCACGCTGCAGCGGGAGCACGATTCGGAACGACTCGGGAGCAGAAGTGAGGCCGGCGCCTCAACGAGAGCAGCATTTTTGGAAAAAATGACGCCGGCGCCTCAGCGAGAGTCGTTTCCCGGGATTTCCCAGGCATCCTGTGTGGAAAAAACAGTACGCGGAGGGTGCGCGGCCATCACCCGGACGCCATCAGGGGAAGAGGGAGAGTATTTTCATATTGAGTAATTGTGAAGGGGCGGGCCCATCTCCCAGGCGATCGCAAACATGGATAGGGGGCGTGTATTAGCGACGGGTCCCGTTTCCATGGGAAATCGCGGAGTTCCGCCGCCGAGCGAGGCGGCACCGGCCGCACTTTGGGGAGGGCATGCACCTCCCCTGATCTATGGATTTGGCGACTGCGCGCCAAATCCGTGGATCGCTGCTCCATGCCTGCGCGACCCCGAACGAAGGACCGCGTTGGGCTCGGGAGGGGCCGTGGTCCTCTGGCCACTCTTCAGATCCCGGCCGTGCAGCCCCTGCAGGCTCGCCGCGGCCGGACGAGCCCCCCCGCCGTTCCTTATAATTCTGCGTTCTCGATGGCAGCGCGATGGCTGGCAGCGAAGGAAAAAGCGCATCCCAGGCGTGCGATGCCCGAATTCTGTCGGCACGGGCTCGCCGACCCCGGAGGAGGTGTTTGCAAGACCTCTCACTGGGGCGGGAGATCTGGGAGTGGGAGTAACGGACCCCGCTATGGAACAAGAGTCCCCCATGCTGTGGATGGTCACCATGGTGGTCGCCTGCTCCGTGCGGAAACATCGCGCAGGAGGGCTCCCCCCTGGGCCCGTGCGTCGTCCCGGGCTGACTCTGACGGTGCGGGGGGCCCGCCCCAGGAGGCCGAGCAGTTCGAAGCACCACCTCCTGATGTGTTTCGGGTGGGCCCAAAGAGGAGGCCCAGCGGCAAGGGGGTGGTTCAGCCACGCGCAGAGGGGGGTGGGGAGGGAGGGGGAAGGGCTTCTTAGAAGCACCCCTGCTTCTTAGAAGGCGCGGACCTATCTAAGACTTGTGAATGTAAGGGCCGGCGCCTTCCAAAAAACCAGCCTGCTCTAAGAAGCCCTCCCCCCTCCCCCCACTGGCCCACCCCCTTGTGCGCGCCGCCAAGTGGTGCAGCAGATGTGGTGCGATTTATCGGTGGGGTTGCAATGCATTCGGGGCGTGCATGGCACTCCGGGGCGCAACTGTATTGCTGGATCTCCGCGTGCAACCCACGCCTTGCAGTGCAATGTGCAGGACAAGTTCTCCGGAGCAGTACACTTGCGGCGCACCGGCCCCAGATCTATACTGCACCCCCCCCCCCTTTCAGCTGGGCCCCCTCTTGGGCCACCCGAGCTTCGAGCTTTCAGCACTCCGCAGGCAGCGGCTCTCTGGGCGGGAGCTCTCCGCCGCGGCTCGGCCACGCTGTGCCCCTCCCCGGGGGGGGGGTGGGCTCCCCCCCCTGGGGCGCTCCGCGCGCCACGGGGGGGCCCCGCTCCACGGTGGGCCGCGGCCCCCGCTCCCCCCCCCCCCTCCTTCGCGGGGCCTCCGGAGTCTTCCTCGGCGCTCCCTCGCTTCCCGGGGGGGGGGGAGGATTGCAAAAAAACGAAGGATTGCAGGATTGCAAAAAAAACGAAGGTTTTTTTGCAATCCTTCGTTTTTTTGCAATCCTGGGTTTTTTTTTGCAATCCTTCGAAGAAGCAGGCGGAGGGACGAGGTCAGAGCCTGCTCTGGTCGCTCGTCGGCCTCGCGCAGGAGGGGGGGGCCCGGGGGAGGGCGGGCGGCGAGGCGCGGGCCTCGTCTGTGTAGTGTAGGGCTGGCGCCCTCTGAGGAGCGGCCTCCTCATAAGAGGCCTGTTTCCCTCCTGCTGCCCTTGAGTCGGGCGTGTCCCTCTACAGGAGGAATGTTCACAAGCAGTCAAAAAATAGTCTGGGGACGACTGTTGGATTATTTTTGGGTCTTGTTGGGTATGTTTTGAGTAGTTCTGATATTTCGCCCAAAATCCGCCTGTAGGGGGGCCCTCGTTGTCTGTGCAATCGAATCCGACGGTAAGGATGGGTAACCTTCCGAAGGGTATTCCTGCATCCGTGCCTCTTTGGTCCATCCCTGGTTATTTTCGATGGCCCGCCGCGCTCGAGAAAGCTTCAGCACAGGCGTCCAGGGGCCTTGCATCCTTATCGCGCATCCTGACTTCCAGTTTGGATTGGGTGCCCAGAGAGTTCGCTTGGAGGGAAGTGCCGCCCTTTTTTGCTGGCGCCGTTTTCGGGCCCAGGGGGCCCTCCTCGGCCCTGGGACCGTCAGCAGAAGGACTCGGGGGGAGCACTTGGTCCCAAAAGAAGGCCCCAGGGTCCAGGACCCGTTTCCCTCGAGGCCTCCCCGATGGGGTCCGGGCAGAGGGGGTCGGAGGACCGCGCCACATCGCCGATGCATCGCTGACGCGGCTCGATGCGAAGCCCGATTTTCTCCACGCCGACGTCGCCGATGCGTCGTCGATGCATCGCCGATGCATCGGCGAAACGGCGCGATCCTTCGACCCCATCTACCCGGACCCCATCTTGGATGCCCTTGAAAAATTCGGAACATGTAGCGGTACCGCTACCTTTTTGTCAGTTTCGCCCCCGTTCTAAGACGGAACACTTGACATACACATAAATATTCAACGACCCGCGAAGATTTCTTGGATCGGCGCTGGGTCCCCCTGGCCGCGCCTCCGACGCCGCCCCTGGCGCGCGAGAGGGACCCTGCAAGAAATCCGCGCGGACCTTTGAAAGCTTCTGTGTGTGCAATGTGTTGTTTCTCGAAGCGTGGTTTTCCTGGAAGGCACTCGGCGCCACGGCTGGATTCACCTCGGTCGCTCGGTCAGAACGCAGCCTGGGAGAGGTCGGGGGAGTAGCAGTATCGGCATCTTCTGGTTTCCCCACGGGGGAGGATCGTGCGGTCTGTAGGGAGGTAATCAGCGGGCTGCAGTAGGCACATCCAGTGCGACATCAACGTGGGAGCAGGTGCCCCACGGAAGGCTCTTATCCCCCGATGGCCCCAGGGACCCGCAGAAGGCCTGGGGCACTGTAGGGCCTCCGAAGATCGACGAGCTGTGTGCCCCAATATACCTTACAGTCAGAGTTCTTCCTCCTCCGCCTCCTCCACCTCCTCCTCCTCCTCCTCTTCCTTCCTCTTCCTCCTCCTCCCCCTCCTCCTCCTCTTCTTACCGTTGTTTGGCGACCTGGGGTCCAGCCAGCGGATCTGTTCGACTCGGGTTCGATGCCTGATTTGACTCCTACTTCGACTCAAGTCCGACTCAAGTCGACGGGCGTACGACGCAGAATCGGCGCACGAGTGGAACGAATAGTGTCCAGGAAGGTCCTCAGGAAAAAAAAAACAAATAACACCGAGGGGGGGTCGGGGAGGAGGAGGAGGAGGAGGTGAGGGAGGAGGAGAGAAAGGATGAGGATGAGGAGGGGGCTGGGAGGGGACTGGGAGAAAAGCAGGAGGAGGAGGAGGAGGGTAATGAGAAGGAGGAGGAAGGAGGAGGATGAGGAGGATAGGATGAACAGTAGGATGAGGCGGAGATGGGAGGGGATGAGGCGGAGGTAGGAGGAGGAAGATAATGAGGGGAAAAAAGGGCAGAAGGATGAGGAGGAGGAGGATGAGGAGAGGAGTGGACGAGGAGGAGGAGAGGAGGAGGAGGAGGAGGAGGAAGAGGAGGAGGAGGAGGAGGAGGAGGGAGAGAGCTGGAGTTGGAGTTGGAGGAGGAGGCCCTCCTCCTCTCTCGCTTGCTCGCCGCCGAGGCGGAGGAGATCGTCGCCCCGCAGCTGCAGAAGCTGGGCCGCGCCCCGGGGGGGGGGGGCGGGGGGCCAGGGCGGCGGCGCACCGCCGCCTCGCCGACCCCCAGACGTCGGGCGCATTGCTTTTGATTGCAGAACCCACCCTGAATAGGGATCTGAAGGCTCTAGGACTACGTCGGGCCTGTCCCTCTGCAGGAGGAAGATTCAAAACTGGTCCAAACATAGTCTGGGGACGATGTTGTTTTTCGTATTGTTGGCCATTCTGGGGTTTGTTTGAGTATCTCTCAGCTTTTGTCCAAAATCCCCCTGCAGGGGGACGGGCCCGACCTGACTCTGGGAAGGTCGCGGACGTGCAGGGGCTCGTCGGGGAGTCTCTTGGGAGGCCTGCCGGAGGTACTCCTGAAGTCTCCTGGGGCCCTTTGGGGAGCGTCCTGGGGGCCTCAGGGGGGGGGTCATCGGGGTGGTCTTCTGGACGTCGGGCGGGCTGATTTTCATGTCGGTCGCGGCAGGGGGCCCTCGGGGCCGACGTTGAGAAGAAGGGTGCGGAGGAGGCCTTTCGGGAGAAGGGTGAGGAGGGCGAGGAGGACGGGGAGGACGGGGAGGACGAGGAGGATGGAGGAGGAGGAGGAGGAGGAGGAGGAGGAGGAGGAGGAGGAGGAGGGAGGCGGGAGGGAGGAGGACGGGGAGGAGGAGGGAGGAGGGAGGAGGAGGGAGGCTTGGCGTTCTTCTTCAATTGCTGCCGCGGGGAGCCGTTTCCAGGCCTCGAGGCCATCGAGCGTGGATTCTTGTTGCGGGGCGGAGACTCAAAAACCCTTCGGGCAAATGCCGACGCGATCCGATTCCGGTGTTTCGACGGTCCGATGCGGCCCGCTGTTGGCATGGCGCTGCTGTGCATCCCAGCGCGGCCGATCCGATTCGAGCCCCTTCGGCAAACCCTTCGGGCAAATGCCGACACGATCCGATTCCGGTGCTTCGACGGTCCGATGTGGCCCGCTGTTGGCATGGCGTTGCTGTGCACAGTGGGTGACTTCCTCAGCTGCGGAGTTTAGGGAGTAAGGGAGGGGGACGAGGGGAGGAGGGGGAGGAGGAAGGGAGGAGGGACGAGGGGAGAGCAGGAGGAGGAGGAGGAGGAGGACGAGGACGAGGAGGAGGAGGAGGAGGAGGAGGAGGAATAGGAGGAGGAATAGGAGGAGGAAGGAGGAGGAGGAAGGAGGAGGAGGAGGGGTCGGTTCCAGTCGAACCGCATCCCAGCGCGGCCGATCCGATTCGAGCTCCTTCGAGCCGAGCTGCGTGCCAAGGGCGGCATCGGTGCGGCGCACGCTGCGGGGTTCGGATCGGCCTGTGGGCGCAAAAGCGCAGGCGCAGCGGGACGGGTCGGGGAGCACAGAGCCCGAGGCTAAGATTTTAAGTCGGGCGTGTCCCCCCGCAGAGGGATTTTCTACGAAAAATTTTTAAAAATACACAAACCATATTCGAACAATAAAAAGTACTCTACAACGATAGTACAAAAGTATTCAACAAATATTCACCATACTCAAAACATGCTCCAAAGTGGACCAAAATACTCCAAAAGTAGTCCCCCGATTGTTTTCGACTATGTTTGGGTAGTTCCCCCTGTAGAGGGGCACGCCCGACTTAAGGCTAAGACGGCGCAAGCTTACCGTGAGAGGAGAGAGAGAGAGAGGGAGAGAGAGGGAGAATGCAGAGGCTGTGGATTCGGCGTCACCCCAACATACTTATACCAAATGTGCGTCGCCCCCCCTCCCCCCCAGGGGCGACGCGCGCACCGAGAAATCTTATAGTATGTGCGTCGTGGCGGGCGCTTTCTGGCAACACCGCTCGGGAAACAATGTACTACAAGATGGGTATACTATCTGTTGAGGTCGGACACGCGCCTCCAAGGAGAACATATCGTACTAGTACGTCTTTGTGCGTCCCATGGATGCCTCTTGGCCCGTGGCTGTGGATGCCTCCAGGCTGACTGACCCAAAGGGTGGTCTAAGGCAGTAGGGCCGGTGCTGAGCTTGGTTCAGCTCCTTTGCACCCTGGCTTGAGGGAGGCTGAATCTTATCAGCAAAGATACCAAACAGCGTAGTCAATATATATATATATATATATATATATAAAAATTTATATATATATATATACATATACATATATACATGTATATGTATGTGTATATATATACATACCTGGGGGGCAGGCCCGGGGCCCACAAACAGCTGCCCCGACCCCCCATGGGGGGACGGGGCGGCCGGGGAGGTCCCTTCCTTCTCCTCTTCCTCCTCATCCTCCATCTCCTTCCCCCCAACTTCTCGTGGTGGTGGTGGAAAGCAGGCCCATCAGATCCTGCGTCTTGTCCAGCACTAGGACTCCCAGCCCTCTCAGAGTCGCCATCGAAGGCAGCCTGTCCTCACTAGGCGCGACCACAGCGAGCCGGCCTGCTGGCGCATGTGGGGCTGGGCGAGTCATGCCACGGTTGGCGAGAACGCTCCACATAGCAGAGCACTGCGGAGGACGGCCAGTCGAGACAACAGCAGCTCGCCCGCCTGGCAGAAGGCCGCTCGAGATCTGTCCCCGAGCCCATCCCAGGGTCCACCCTGGCCCGTTCTTTCGGGGCGGGCTCAGCCGTGGCGCGCGAGCCCCCTGGGAGGCCCCCCAAGAGGCCCGCCGCGGCCTTGGCTCGGCGGCGAGCGAGGGGGGGAAGCGAGAAGGCAGAATGCGAAGACCTCCTCCCAAGGCGGCGGGGCTCCTCGGAAGCCCCCGCGCCTTCCGAGCAGGCCCCCCTGTCTTCGGGGAAGGCTCAGAGCACCTCTCAGGAGGCTGGCGGGGGCTCCCGAGGCTTCGGGGAGGGCCTCCTCCTCCTCGCTGCACGCCCGGGCTCGCCGCCGACGGACTGGACAGCTCCCCTCCAGCGCTGGCTGCCCGCGCACAGGCTCCGCGGCGCGACGGCCCACGGAGCTGCCCCGCGCGTCGCCCCGGGCCGCCCCCGGGCCTGCCCGAGGCCCTCCCGCCGGGAGGAGCCCTCGGGGGCGGCGGAGCAGCGGCGTCAGCCAGGCAGTCCGCGATGCACCACGACATCCTCCGGCCTGGGCCCTTTCCTACGCGGGGCGCAGAGAGACGTGGCGCATCGCCTGCTCACCGCACCGTCTTGAGGCTCAGTCGCTTGACGCCGGGGTGCGGTTGTTTCAGCACTCCCCATGCCCCGTGCGCACCACCGCCAAGAGTGCCATGGCGGCCTTGGCTACCGCAGTAGCCCGCTGTCGACGGCACTCCCATTTCTTCTCTCTGTCTCTCTCCCGCGCGCCCTCCCCCCCCCGCTCCTCCTCCTCCTCCTCCTCCTCCTCCTCCTCCTCCTCCTCCTCTTCCTCCTCCTGGCCTCCTCCTGGCCTCCTCCTGGCCTCCTCCTCCTTCCCCTCCTCCTCCTCCTCCTCCTCCTCCTCCTCCTCCTCCTCCTCCTCCTGCTCTCCCCTCGTCCCTCCTCCCTTCCTCCCCCCTCCCTCCTCCTCTCCCGTCCCCCATATGCTCCTCCCAACGCTCTTCGACCCCATCTCCCATCCCCGCTCCCGTCCTCTTCCTCCTGCTCCCTTCCCCGAGGCGCCCTCCCCCTGCCCCGCGCCCGCGGGCCCTGCCCCTGCCGCGCAGAAGAGCTGAGCGCGAACCTGACGAGGTCGGTGCACCAGAACCCGCAAGCGAGGAACCGCGCGGCCCGCAGCGGCGTGCCCAGATGGTCTGGTACCGGAAATTTTCGGTAGCGATTTCGACGCACCCCGAATTTCGGTAGCGACCGGACCTTCGCTTGAGGGCGTTGAAATAGCGGATTTCAGAACGGTCTGATACCGGTATTGGGCGCTACATTTCGGTATTTCGGTAGCGACCGATCTCTGTGGAGCGCTACCGGAAATTTTCGGTAGCGGACCATCAGGGTGCGGCTGTGGTCGGGGAGTTCGGGCCACGGGAGCGCAGGCCCAACCGCTTGTTTTGTGGCGCGGGTGCTGGCCGAAGTCTCGGCCGAACGGCATTCCATATATTGGGGACGCGGTGGTCGCCGTTTCGGGAGGGGGGGGGGCGGCGCAACGCTTGGTGCTCATCGCTTTCGCTCCTCCGAGCACTGCCGGCGTCAAAGATTCATGCCCGCATCGAGGTTTGAGCGCATCTGCGTTGAAATGCTTAGAAAACATTAGTTGGGCAAAACATTGACATGCGCGCGAAACGTGTTCGTGTGGGCTGCCTGGTATAATTTGACGGAGCTCGCGGGCGCGCGATTATGTTTGAGTGATTTCGGTCTGCGTTCGCGTGTGGCTCGCATGGCCCTTTTTTTACAACGTGGCCAACACAAAACTAGACACGCAGATTTCAGCGAATGCGCGCACAAAATCACGAGGTATTGCGAAATTGCTGACGACATATTGTGTTTCAATGATACCATGTGGAAACAAGTGTTGCTCACATGATGTTGACATGTGTGGTCGCGTATGATCGCATGTGTTTTGCTCTTGTGTTTTGGTATGTTATGATGGGGGCCATAGCAAACACAACGCGTTTTGATGGGTGTTTCCTGCATTATATTAGTGAACAGGGACGAGGCGGAGTCCATGCTGGTTAGGCCCGCATGGTATCACGCTGCATGTTCCCAAGTGGTGGTCGTGCAACACAACTCCGCAGATACAAACGAATAGCCAGACGGATAAGGTCGTTCTCGACATGTGAGTATACAGGGGGCCGAACTTTATACACCGACGCTTTTCCTGGCCTTACACTGAAACTTGCACAGGAAAGCGGATCCTGGTGTATAAGGGACCTTGGTGTATACATTGTTCGCCGTTTCCCTAGGGCAACGGGGTACATACACCATACCACCCCCCGACGTCGTCCCCGACATTCAAAAAGCCTTGGGATTGACAAACAGCCGGTTACTGGTAATATATACGCTCCTGATTCCGAGGTATAGTCCAATGTTCGGCAGAATAGGGGATCTATGGCGTGCAATGCCTGGCTCCATCAGTAAACAAAGTTCTGATCTGAGTCGTGTGACGCACGGCGGGGCTCCCAGACTTAAACACACACGCACATGTTCTGCTGCATGCCACTCGTGCGACCCGTCATTTTGAGCCTGAGAGCTCCTGCTCCGCGTTCGAGGCGTATGGAGGGTGTGGTTTCGCTCCCCCGCACTTTGTTTTGGCTTGAGCTTCGGAGTCCGTGTTCGTCTCGACGGATCCTTCTTTTTGTGTCGTTTCTTTTGCGGGGGATGGGAGGCTCTGCTTCGGGAGTCCAGTGGCCGTTTGGGACCGCGCGGCCGCGCTCCCGGTCTAATTTGGAGGCCTCCTCCTCTGGCGGGCGCCGCGTGCACGCCTCGTGGAGGCCTCTGGGGCTCTTGGGGGTGTCTGGGAGGCCTCTTGGAGACCGTCCTGGGGGCCGTCTGGAGCGTCCCGGACCGACCCGTCGGCGATCTTGGAGCACTCTCGGACCATCTTGGGGGGTCTCTTGGGGCTCTCGTGGCCCCGTCTTGGAGCCCTCTCGGGCCCCAGCAGATCACGCGACGAGCCGCGGGGAGCCGCGACAAGCCCAAGGAGATTGGGAAACATCTGGGGGCTCCGGGCCCGTGAAAGGCTCCTCGGGAGGGAGGCTCGAGGCTCAGAGGATGGGGCAAGTGGCCTGAGGACACGACCTCTCCATGCCCTGCGGCACGGTGGATGAATTGTGCTATGACAGCGTCTGGTACAACACCCGGGGTGCAACCTATGCGGATCAAGCTATGCCGTAAGCTACAGGAGGTGCAAGTTCTGTGGTGCAGTCGTTGCCCTGGCTCCTCTGCTGCGTCGTCTCCTCGTTGTCGTTTTGTTCTCGCTTTGCCACGAAGGATTGCAAAAAAACCCTGGGCGAAGGATTGCAAAAAAACCCTTTGCAATCCTGGGTTTTTTGCAATCCTTGGGTTTTTTGTGCAATCCTTCGGCTCCCCTTCGGCTGGCACTGCACTGCGAGCTATAGCGGTGCGAGGTGTGCATCCTCGAAGGCGACCCCGCGTGCGTGCGAGAGATCGGCACGAGGCGGGCTCGGGCGAGCCCTCGTGCGAAAATGTCGAACGTTCCGCCAATGCTCTCTATCAGAGAGACAAGGCCCTCTTCGTGCGATCGCTGCCAGTGGAATGATAATAATTGACAGTATCAGGTAGATGCGCACGGTAGGTTTGCGTCGTGTCGACCAGCGGCGACCCCAGCGCGGGCGTTCAAGGTTGAACGCCGCCGGCGACCCAGAATCGATCGACGTTGAACGATCGGACGTTGCGGCAGCGGCCGATCGTTCAAGGTCGAACGATCCCTGCGGTGTCAAAAACCAACGCTGGGGTCGGCACGACACGAACCTGCCGTAGATGCGTACTCATATTTATCTGTAGATCTTATATGTCGCGCTGGGGGACGAAACCGGGCGCACTCTGATGATCGCAAGGATTCAGCCACTGCCGTTGGCAGGCCAGGAGCTGAGGCGCTGTTGCGCGCGACGCGCTCAGGATACACATCCCCAAAGTGGGCAACGCAGTGTCGATGATGAAGATGGAGGACGGGACTGGGCCTTCTTCGGGGGAACGGCAGTATGCAGATCATGGCGAAGCCGAGGATCAGGAGGCAGGAAAGGAGGATCTGATGGGGTCGGAGGAGGACGAGGTCTAGAGAACACCAATAATCCGCAAACGATGTTGCAACACATCCTCGAGTTTCAAGTCTCCTCCTAACACGCTCCTACAAGTCATCCTGTTTACCACAAGGAGCGCCCCTCTTTGAAAGACCAGCACAGTTGTGACTGCTATTTTGGCGAGGGCCCCGCTTTGAAAAGGCATTGACTTGCACCGCACTGGCGTGCAATCAGGAACGCGAGAGACAATGATCATACCGTTTAGCGAGGTGTCCAGCGAAATACTTCTTTCGAAGAAGGACCGTTCCCACCCCATAGATGCAACTGTTGCACACGTGTGCAATTGTGGCACGTGGTTCTCGAGAAGTGTCGCGGCTGCCCCCTTCCTCCAACTCTTCCTTCTCTCAGAAAAAACACGTACGCATGTGGTTCGGAATTTCGACGAAGTCCCAAGTGTCAGCTCCATTTTGAAAGAGAGCCGCCATGGATCCGTGCATCGCTACGTGCATTGAAGTTTTTTTTGTCACCAAGCAGTGCTCGTATTTGGACTTCTTATCTCGTCTGATGAAGTGGGCCAGATTGCCCGTCTGGCAGCTGTGTTGTTGCCGTCGCCGCCCCGTCGCCGCCTTGTCGTGGTTTTGCGTTATTGTGCATTGGTTTGCGTTGTTGTCCGTTGCTTCGCATTGCTTCGCATTGCATTGTATTGCTTGGCATGTATTTGCATTACCTCGCACTGCTCTACATGGTGTTGCATTGCTTGGCATTGTTTTGCATTGCTTTGCATTGCAATGCTTTGCTTTATATTGCATGCGTTGCGGGGCCTTGCGCTGCGTTGCGTTGCATTGCGTTGCTTTGCTCTGCGTCTGCGCTGCTTTGCTTTGTTTTGCATTGCAGTGCGTTGCTCTGCTTAACTTGCCATCGAATCACATTGCACTGTTTCGCTCTGCTTCGCATTCAGGTGTATTGCCTTGATTTGCGCTACATTGCTTAGCATTGCTCTGCATTGTTTTGCATTTTCCTGCGACAGGTTTCACCACATCTATTGCCTAACATTTATTGCACAACATAGGTCGCACACCGTATGTGGCACACCAGATCTCACAACATCGATTGCACACCACATACGTTGCACCGCATGTACCGCACCGCCTATGTTGCACCACATAGATTGCACCACAACTATTGTACAGCATAGATGGCACAGCATAGATTGCACCACATGCATTGCACAACATGGGTCGCATGCATCGGTTGCACACCATAGATTGCACACAGGTATCGCGCTCCACATCTTGCACTACACAGATATTGCACCGCATGTATTGCACCGCGTACTCTGCACCACATACATTGCTCTACATATCTTGCAGTAACGAAGTCTCAGACCAGAGTTCCATTTTGGAAACAGGGTGGTCCTCCAACCTGTTAGACGTTGCATTACAAAAGCGACCTCGCCGGGCGCTGGGGCGGATCCCCATTTTGAAAATGACCAGTGCTCAAATGTTCGAACCGTTGCAAGTTTTGAGTCGAAGGCTCGCTGGTGTAAGGCGAGAGCCCCATGTTGAAAAGGATCCGCGCTCCATCTGCGAACCGAGTGCACGTTTTGTAATGCATGTTCGTGGCGCTAAGACCAGAGCCAGATCTTGAAACCGCACCCCATCCATCCGTGAATATGTTACAACCTTTTGAGACAAACACACGCGGCGCTAAGGCGAGAACCACAATTTGAAAAATGCGCAGCCCTCCATCCGCGAAGCTGTTGTAACTTTCAAGATGAATGCGCGTGGCGCTGAGGCGAGAGCTATTTTTGATCTCCCCACCACCATCCGTGCAAACGTTTAAGCCGCACGTGCGCGGCTCTCAGGCGAGAGCCACATTATTGAAAAGAAATCGCCCTTCATCAGTGACACGTTTGCAAACTTTTGCGACGAATGCGCGCAGCGCTGAGGCGAGAACCACACTTCGAAAATGACACCCCTCCAACCGTGAAGCTGGTGCAAACTCTTGTACGCATGTGCGCGGCATTCAAGCGAGAGCCACATTTTGAAAACCAGCCCCCTCCCTCCGTGAAGCTGTAGCAAATATCAGGCATCAGGATCAGGAGTGCTGGGGAATTCTTAGGCGCCGCGCCCGGCCCGCCCTACCGGCACGTCTGGGTGGGCGACAAGTAGGAGTCATCTATATAGAAAAACCGATGGAAACAACCAGTTAGAAAGAGGGCGATGGGGATGATGAGGAAAGCAAGGGGATCCAGAGCCTGATCTTCTATATCCAGGCGTCGCTGATGCGTCGCCAATGCGGTTCGATTCTCTGACCCAGTCTGCTCTGGCATCGACGGTTGGCCTGCTGCAGAAGAGGAGGATAATGAGATGAAGACAGCTGTGGCCCCGTGCTCACTCGCTGAGGCGAACCCCGATCAGGACTTCGAGGCGAATCTGGCCCTGGCCACAAGAGCCCTCGTGACCGGCCACACGTGAGAGCGACCCTGCGCCGGAGTGACTTCTGGTGCGCGGTTTCTGGAGGGGCACCAGGAGGGCCACCAGATTTAAGCACTCGGGCCGCTGCTACCTCGTTTTGCATGCACAGATCGGCACGCTCCACAACCCAGAGGCCACCCTTGCGTCAGCCACGCGCAGGGGTGGGTGGGGTGGGGGGGAGGGCTTCTTAGAAGCACCCCTGCTTCTTGGAAGGCGCCAGCGGTATCTATAGATGTAAGAGTGGCGCGGATTGGCGCGTTCTAAGAAGCACCCTCCCTCCCTCCACTCCCTTGCGTGAGCCGACGGGAGCATTCCCGAACCTCCGAACTGGAGGGAGGCCAGTGGAGAACGCCGGCTCTCCCGATCAGCCCAAGCGGCCTAACATCGGTACAATCGAAACCGACGGTGAGCATGGGAGCATGGGTCACCTTCCTAAGGGTACTCTTGCATCCGTGCCTCTCTGGTCCGTCCTTGACTACTTTCGATGCCCTGCCGCGCTCGAGCAAGATTTAACACGGGCGTCCAAGGGGCTTGCATTCTTACCGCCCATCTTCTTCCGGGTCCAGGAGGGGGAGGGGGAGGGGGAGGGAGGGGGGGAGGGGGAGGAGGAGGAGGAGGAGGAGGAGGGAGAAGGAGAGGAGGAGGAGGAGGGAGAGAGGAGGGTGAGGAGGGCGAGGAGGAGGAGGGCGGGGGAAGGGAGGAGGAGGGCGACGAGGAGTAGGAGGGGGAGAGGAGGAGTGAGGAGGAGGAGGAGGGGAGGAGGGGAGGAGGTAGGAGGAGGGGTAGTAAGTATTAGTATAGCAGCGTAGTAGTAGTAGTTGTAGTAAGTCGTCGTCGTCGTCGTCGTCGTCGTCGTCGTCGTCTCGTCGTCGTCGACGTCGTCGTCGTCGTCGTCGTCCGTCCGTCGTCGTTCGCGTCGTCGTCGTAGTAGTAGCATTAGAAGTAGTAGTATGATAAGTAGTAGTAGTATAGTAGTAGTAGTAGTAGTAGTAGTATAGTAGTAGTAAAGTAGTAGTAGTAGTAGTAGCGCAGTAGCAGAGTAGTAAAGTAGTAGTAGAAGTAGTAGTATAGTAGTAGTAGTAGTAGTAGTATAGTATAGTTAGTAAGTAGTAGTAGTAGTAGTAGTAGTAGTAGTATTAGTAGTCCGTAGTCGTCAAGTCGTAGTCGGGTAGGTAGAGTCGTAGTCGTAGTCGTAGGTCGGTTAGTAGTCGTAGATCGTAGTAGGGTCGCATGCAGTCGTATCCGTAGTCGTAGTGGTCGTAGTCGTAGTCGTAGTAGTAGTAGTAGTAGAGTATCAGTAGTAGTAGTAGTAGTAGTATTAGTAGTAGTAGTAGAGTAGTAGTAGTAGTAGTATAGAAGTAGTAGTAGTATAGTAGAATTAAGTAGTAGTAGTAGTAATAAGAGTAAGTATAAATTAGCTCGTAGTAGTAAGTAAGTATAGTAGTAGTAGTAATAGTAGTAGTAACGGTAGTAAGTAGTAAGTAAATAGTAGTAGTAGTAGTAGTAGTAGGAGGAGGAGGAGGAGGAGGAGGAGGAGGAGGAGGAGGAGGAGGACCGAGACCCCTCTGGGGTCCGTCCTGGCCCGCCTCTCGAGGTGGGCCCCGCCGCGGCGGCGAGGAGGTCCCTGGAGGCCCCCCCCCGCAGGAGGACGCGCACCGCGCCGCGTGGGGGGTGGGGGTGGGGGGGGGGCGCTGCCGCCTCGATCGGCACGCTTCGGGCGGGGGGGCCCTCCGAACGAGCCCGAGGTTTCGCAGGCCTAGAGGTTGACACCAACACCAAGATCGGCGGTGTGCCTCCACCGAGGGAAGAGGATCCCGATCTCGGTGATGGTGGTAAGGTTCTGGCTTCCAAGGCGACCGAAGTAGTGCCAGCAGCACCGCAATATCTAGGATCCTCTCCCCCATGTGGGGGCAACTTCCTGTGTTGGTGTTGGTGCCAATTTCTAGGCCTCCAAAGGTCGGCGCCACCCCAACGTTTAAAAGCCTGCCCCCCCTACAGGGGGACTTTCGACGACAAATACAACACACCCACAAAACAGTCCAACAATGATCCAAACATAGTCTGGGGGCTATTTGTTTAGCATGTTTTGACAATTTTGGAGCATTGTTGGAGTAGTTTTTATTTTTCGTCGAAAATCCCCCTGTAGGGGGACAGGCCCGACTTAACCCAACCTGCCAGTCGCAGTGTCTAGGCCTCCCAGATGGGGTCCGAGTAGATGGGGTGCACCGCCGATGCATCGCCGATGCGGCTCGATGTGGAGCCCGTGTTTCCCCACGCCGACGGCACCGATGCATCGCCGACGTCGCCGATGCATCGCCGATGCATCGACGATACATCGGCGATGTCTTGGCGATGCGGTGCGATCCTTCGACCCCGTCTACTCGGACCCATGTAGGAGGCCTCTACAGTAGGGAAACGAAGAATGACATGACACACAAAAACTCGGAGGTCCGCGCGGATTTCTCGGATCCGCGCTGGACCCCCCTGGCGGCGCCTCCCCTGGCGCGCTCCGCGCACCAGGGAGGGGAGTCCAGCGCGGATCCGAGAAATCCGCGCGGACCTCCGAACTTTATGTTCATGTGTTGCTTGTTCCCCGAACTTGTGTATGTCATCGTTGTTTGTTTGTCATTGTTTTTGTTACCGGGTTCCTGTCCAAGTCGTTCCTTTGCAAGCACATCGTCTTCGGCACCGCCTGACCCCGGGGGTTTTGCCCCCTCCTGGCCTTGACGTCAGGCCCTTCCTTCTGCCCTCCCCCTCTTTGTTAATTCAAGCTGTGCGCGGCCCGCTTAGCTTCGACCGAAAGAGGTGCGCTCTCGACCCGCGAATCAAAAAAGTTTGTCATTGTTTGAAATTTGTGTATGACTTTTTATGTGTATGTCATTGCTTGTTCCCCGAACCGCGTGTGCATCGCCACCCCAGGGGACGGCGCGCGCGCCGAGAAACCTGACAGCATAAGCGCCGTGGCGGGCGCTTCCTGCCTGGCCATAGCGCTCGGGAAGCGATGGGCTACACCCTGGGCGTGCTGTGTGATCGGCTCGGGCGCACGCCTCCAAGGAGGACGCATGGTTTCGGATGCAGCTCCTGGGAGGTCTAATTCTGTTTTTGCCCTGGTCCGAAATCCGGCCTAATCCCGCTTAATCCGGCCTAATCCCGCTTAGTCCCGCTTTATCCCGGTTAATCCCGGTTAATCCCGCTTAATCCGAGGCCCACTCAGGCGTAGTAGCTCCCAAATGGGGCTTAATCCTTTCATCTTCCCGACGAAACCCTCCCAGTAGCTGCCTCCTAACATCGTACATGGTACTAGGATGTCCTTGTGCGTCCCATGAGGGCGCGACCCAAACATTCGTCACCCACCAAAGCGCCCCAACCCAACCCGAAGGCCTCAATCTGTTTTTCTCTCAGTTCCCAGTGGAGGGGGGGCGTCCGGGAGCATTGAAAAAAACATATGTGGAGCCGGTCCCCCCAACTAGAAATCTGGGTCTTCGGGTTGGGTTGGGGTGGTCTGGCAGGCGGTCAAACAGTCGAGGTCTTGATTTTCCTGGCACGAGGTCTCCAGAAGTCCCGACCCTTTCCCCAGGGACGGTCCGTCGTCCTGAGTCTGTTCGTTGACGGTCCCAGGGTTGAGTTGGGCCTGTCCCTCTACAGAGGGAATATTCAAACAATAGTCTGGGGACTATTTTTTGTATATTTGGACCATTCGGGAATTTTTTTTTTGTATTTTTCATTTTTCGCCTGAAGTCCCCCTGTAGGGGGACAGGCCCGACTTACTCCCAGGGCCTGGCGAGGGCCCCCCGAGGCCGAAGACCCCTCGGGGCCCTCCGCCGCGATGTCTGCCGCGGCGCGAGCCCGTCGGAGGGGAGGGCGGGGGCCAGGTGCAGAAGCTGCGCCTGGCGAAGCCGAAGGCGGCCGCGGCCCAGAAGCTCCGCGAGAGCGAGCAGAAGGACGCCGCGGCGCTGGAGGACCGCCGCGGCGGGGGGGGGGGGCCACTCCCGGCGGGGCGCGGCAGGGGGCCCCTTGCTGGCGGGCGCCCCCCTGCCGGTGGCTCAGGGGCTCGGGGGCCTCTCTGCCTTGTCGGGGGCGGCCACGAGGGGCAGGATGGCTGCTGCTTAGGGTGGGGGCCAGCATCATGGCGGGGGCCGTGATCCCCCCCAGATTTCATGGCGCCTCCTCTTGTTGCAACACGCGTCCCCGACCCCCCCCCTGGGCCGCGCGCATGCCGCCGGCCATGAGTTGCCCCCCCACCACCCCCCTCTCGGACGCCCCCGAATCTAGTCCTCCTAGATGGGGTCGGAGTGGATGGGGTCGGGGGATCGCGACGCATCGCCGATGCATCGCCGATGCGGCTCGATGTGGAGCCCGATCTGCTTCACGTCGACGTCGCCGATGCGTCGTGGCGTCGTGCGGTGGCAGACCCCGACCCCCTCGAGTCATGGACAACATTCGCCAGGGTTTTTGGCATTTTCGGCCTCTGGGGGCCCTCACCGGGCCTCGGGTCCGGCAAAAAACGACAGGATGAAACACCAGCCCCCGGGAATGGATCGAGACCTTTGAGGGTGGAAGGCCTCCAGACGGTGCGGTGACCACACCGCCCTGAGGTCCGGGCGCTGCAACGTCTTCACGTCCTCGCGCCGGACGTCTTCGCCTGGCTTCGGACCCCCGGACCACCACAGCTCGACCCGGCCTGAAAAAAAGGGGATTGGGTCTAGGGCTTTGGTCGTGTTTTTTTGTTCGCCACGGTTCGTTTTTGTCGCAACGTCGGATCCCAGGGCATGGTGGTGTGTCAGTGTGGAGTCGGGCTGGGCGCACGGTTTTAGGAGTCGGGTCGTTCTCCGAGGACGTCCCTGGCAACTGGGGCCTCTAGGGTCCCCCAAGACATGCGGTGAAGCGCCGTGCGGTGAGGTCTTGTGGGATTCCGAGGTCACCGCACGCTGTGTCCCCGCGCCGTCTGGGGACCTTCAAGGACGTTGCCCCAAGGACGAGCACCGCAAGCAGTGAAGGTTCAACTTGTAATTGATCCGCTTCCTATCCTCAGGGCCCCATCCCACAGGGCCGCTTCTGTGAACCGCCGACCAAGGGCTCCTTGGTCGTCTTCGTCGCCGTAGTCGTTGTCGGGCGTTCTGCGTTGGCGTCGTCGTCGACGGCATCGGTGTCGTCGTCGTCGTCGTCGGCGCCGTTATCGTCTCAGGAGAGAAAAAAACACACAGACACAGTTAGTCCTCGATTCCCCAGAAAATATAGGAAAATGAAGGAAATGGGGGGGAAGACAGAAACCCAGAAATATGGGAAAATATTGGGAATATTTTTATGTGTGCGTATTTATTTTGTGTGTCCTGGGGCCCCTTCATCGTCGTCCTTCTGTTTCCCGCTCTTCCCTTCCCCTCGCGCTGCCACCGAGCAGGCGGCGTCACCACGCAGCTTCTTCCTGCGCCGCGGCTACAGCCCCTGCTTGGGCTCGGTCGCCTACACACATACAGAATACAACATAAGTGGGTGTATGTGCACACGTGCATATGTGTATGTGTATGTGTATAGCTGTGTATGTATGTATACATGCAGTTCGTGGCTGGCAGGTCGATTGGTGGGGAGGAGGAGGAGGAGGTGAAGGAGGAGGGCTCTTGGGGGCTTCCATCATGGAACGACTGGTGGCCCCGCCCCCCTGCTTTGAACGGGGAAAGGACGACAACGATTACTAAGAAGACGCGGAGGAGTAGGACGAACCAGAAGATGAGGGAGGAAAAAAAAGATAAGGAGGAGTGGGTTTCCAGAGGAGGAGGAGGAGGAGGAGGAGGATGAGACAGGAGGCATGAGGCATGACGAGGATAATGAACACGAATTGATACGACCAGGAGGGCGGAAGCGGGAGCAGCAGGATGATGATGAGGAAATGCGGAACGGACGGAGGAGGGGGAGGGGGAGGAGGAGGAGGAGGAGGAGGAGGAGGAAAAGGAGGAGGACGGGTAGTAGTCGTAGTAGTAGTAGCAGTAGTAGTAGTAGTAGTAGTAGTAGTAGTAGTAGTAGTAGTAGTAGTAGTAGTAGTAAGTGTAGTAGTAGTAGTAGTAGTAGTAGTAGTAGTAGTAGTAGTAGTAGTAGTAGTAGTAGTAGTAGTAGTAGTAGTAGTAGTAGTAGTAGTAGTAGTAGTAGTAGTAGTAGTAGTAGTAGTAGTAGTAGTAGTAGTAGTAGAAGTAGTAGTATTAGTAGTAGTAGTAGTAGTAGTAGTAGAAGTAGTAGTAGTAGTAGTAGTAGTAGTAGTAGTAGTAGTAGTAGTAGTCGTAGTCGTAGTCGTAGTCGTAGTCGTAGTAGTAGTAGTAGTAGTAGTAGTAATACAAAAAGACGTAGTCGTAGTCGTAGTAGTAGTAGTAGTAGTAGTAGTAGTAGTAGTAGTAGTTAGTAGTAGTAGTAGTAGTATAAGTAAGTAGTAGTAGTAGTAGTAGTAGTAGTGGTAGTGGTAGTAGTAGTAGTAGTAGTAGTAGTAGTAGTAGTAGTAGTAGTAGTAGTAGTAGTAGTAGTAGTAGTAGTCGTAGTAGTAGTAGTAGTAGTAGTCGACTCCTACGGAGTCTGCATGGAGTTCGTAGAGGAAGAGGCGGACCCGCCACACGCGTACTACATGCACGCGGAGCATCCCGAGGAGGACATCCGCGACTTGAAGGCCCTGCTGCGCTACGACAAGCTCAAGAAGGAGGGGATCTCAGTGGTCAGCGCGGTGGACCTCGTGAGGTACCTGCCCAAGGTTGAGCCGCTGGCGGTTGGCACCGTCTTCAAGCGCTATGCTCCACACCAGGCACAGTGGGAGGGCCACGATGTGCTGATGGAGGGGCTCACCTGGGAGAGCTTGACCAAGTTCGAATGGACCGACCTCTGCGCGCAGGTCGCATGGGGACTGAACGACCCAGAATGGGAGGGCTACAGCAAGAAGGCGCGGAACAAAGCCAAGAGGGAGCGCCTGGAGATGGCGCACAGGGAGTCGGGCGGGCCACATCCTGAAGGCGGGCAGCCTTTCGGGCGGCGGGGGTGGTACAGGGGCCGCCCCGCGTGCCACCCCCGTGCGCAACGCCATCGCCCCGCCGGCGAGAGGGGCCCGTGGCGGCCAGGGCCCGCCACCACCGCCGGCGGGGGTCCCGCCAGAGGCCGCGGCCATCATGGGCCCACCGCCGCCGCCGCCGACGGCGCCCCCTGATGCGCCGCCGACGCCGACGCACCCGCCACCGCATACGGACCCGCTCCCGCAGCAGATCCCAAGCGCTGCAGCCCTGAACGTGGCCCTCGGCGAAGACCTTGAGCGCCAGATCTTTGGGCCCGCAGGGCAGGCGGGGGGCGGCGGCGACCTCGGCGGGGAGGCGCGGGCGCTGCCGTCGCAGGTCCTTGCTG